GGCACTCGTTTAAAGTCAAGGAAGGGCAAACATATTTTAAGTCAAGTGATAGCGATTGCTGTATGAGTCATACGATTTTTGAATCAAGCACGGGCAACGCCAGGTCATGCTGCTAGTTTAAAATAAAAGAAATAAAGAGAAGATAGAAGTATTTAACGTCTGTTTCAGTGAAATGGAAAATGTGAATTTCAAATGTTTTCATTTTCACCCACTTCTTAAAATAACAACCAGTATTCATATATGATTGTTATTTGCAATGAGTTATTAAGCTCAAATATTTAACGCTGCGATACGGAAATTTCATTGCCATGAGTTTAGTCAATCATTGACTTAAGAGTTAAGATTCATCACAAAATTTAAATTAGAAAACAGTGAAATTTTCACAGGTTTTTCTCGTAATAAGTTTATATGAAAGCCTACTATGTTTTTATAGCCGCATATTTTCCGCTAATAGTGTTTGAGCCCAGATAAAATGCAAATATTTTACATGCTGATTTTCAAGGAAGGCTGCTTGGGGAGATTAACGCCACCCAGTTTTCCTACAACCATTATTCAGCAGTATGACTTTGTGCGGTACTAAGTTAAGCTTTGTAAATATCAATAATTGCACAAGAACAACAATAACAATTTGACACCCTGCCAAACTTGTAAACGGTTTCAAGTGCATATTCTGACTACCAGAACAGCACGAATATTTGACACTCTTTCTCTCGAAGGTCACGTGATGCCTCACGTTAGACAGATTTGTCAAGGCGTCGTATTCAAGGTTTCAATGTCTCATAGACGTCTCTTTTTTTCTAGGCTACTGAGTGCTTTAAAGTCGATTATATATATATATATATATATATATATATATATATATATATATATATAGGTTCGTATGAGCGTTAGAAAGGAGGAAATGTTAATATACCAATATTCTTATTTCGCAACAGGTTTTATAATTTACCAACCGGCGGATTTTAGTTCACAACTTATAATGTTATTAACGAAGGAGGCCTCAATCTGGTTATTTGACATTTTCTTTTTTATTTAATTTTAATTCCTTTTTTTTTTTTTTGGTTTTTGTTCATTCAAACAGCCCTTTGCAGAATGGCTTGAAAATCGTGTACTTTCTAATTTTTTTCTTTCTCCATCTCAATCTAATACACACGCACGCAAATACGTATTCATAATACTTTCTTTCCATTATTTTTCTTGCCTTCAGTTTACTTCTTTCTCTTTTTTTTCGCTTGCTTATTTTACCTCTCTCTCTCTTGCTTACAGTCTTTCTCTCAATCTCTTATTCTTTCTCTAACACACTTCTACCTTTTCTTCCACTACTTTTATTTCATTCTTTCTTTTATTTTTTTCTCTCTAGAATTTTTTGCCACGTGATGAAATCCTCACAGTATTTAGTATTGTTGAAGTCATTGAAAGCATTTTTACCAAGATTTACAAAATCTACGTTTCGTTCAATTTCACAAATCAATTGTAATTTAAATAGGCTGAAGTTTTGCGAAAATACTTCAAAAAATATTGCCGTTTAATAATTTCTTTAATTTCTTTTAATTTTATAGGGTAAACAATCTTTTTAAAAAACATTTTCTTTCTCTTTCCTTTTAGAAAATAAATTCTTAAGATTTCATTATTATTCTTTCATGCAACTAGCCATGCATAAATATTTCTATTTGGAGCCAAATTCCATCTTCTTAAAGCGTTTGGTCTTGTGATTTATTTACATTGAAATGAAAGTTGGATTCTTGTATATGAAAACTTAAAAGATATTCGAAAAACAATATTGCATTTTTATTAAATAAATATTGAAATCCCTAGAATATTTACTATCTTTGAAGTTATCGCTAACAATTTTTATCGAGATTTTAATCTACGTTTCGTTTAATTTCGCAAATCAATCGATGAAATTTGAATAAGCTGATTTATTTGGAAAATACTTTGACAAAATCTTTACTTCGGTTTAATAATTTCTTTAAATTAATTTAATTTTATAGGACATCATAGTAAACAATTTTTTTTTTTTTTAAGAATTTTTTCTCTTTTTAACAACGAAGAATAAATTCTTAGAATTTCTTATTCATGAGCATGCGAAATACAATTGGCTATGCGTGAATATTTCTTTCTGGAGCCAACTTTTTGAAGCATTTGGCATCGGGATTTGTTTAGTTCTCGCACAGGGCGAACTGGAAACTGGATTCTTGTATATATAAAAGCTTAAGACGGCCTTTTGCCACATCAAAATTAATCTTAGAAAATCACTTTATAAAAGCTTAAGATATGCGAAAAAAACAATATTGCATTTTTATCAAATAAGTATTTATTTTAAACATTAAATTGTTTTTAAAATAGTGGGAGTATGTTGTAGGTTATATAACAAAATTTAATCACCCCCCACCAAAAAAAAAAATGAATGAAAATTTATTGTACTAAGCTACGAACCCTAGTAAAACCATGTATATCTTATATGCCCTTACCTGTTTGCACTTCTCCCTCAAATTTAGTTTCGATCGGTCGATGCATGACTATTTTAGAGGGCGTGACGAACGGACTAACGGAAGTCAAAGAATTTTATATATAGATAGATGTTTTCATTTCCTAACCTGAGCCTCCTCTCTTTAGTTCTTCGCGTCTTTTCTCTCCCACTCTCACTTTGTCAGTTCCACACTCTCTCTCTCTCTTTCTTTCTCTGTCTCATATCAAGTTTATTACCGAAATCCTTTAAGTCTTCAAGCAGAATCGTCATGTTCTATCCATAAAATTTTATCTCCTTCTCCTCCTAACTCTAAATCTCTCTCTCTCACTCACTCTCTCTCTCTCTCTCTCTCTCTCTAGTTCTTTGTGTCTTTCCTCTCTCTCCCTCTCTCTCATTCACAAGGCTTATTATCCCGTAAATCTCGAAAGTCTTCAAGCAGAAACGTTATGTTCAACCCAGAAAACATCTGCTTCTTTTTAGACATCGTTTGCTTTTTGAAGCACTTGTTTGAATTTCTCTCTCACTTGACTAACACTCAGTTCTTATTATTAGTCTCATCAATGAGAAGAAAAGAAACAAACGATTTCTTAGTTAAATTCTCCAATTGGAATAACACTTTTAACACAAAGTAAAAAGCATTTACTATTGTGGATTTAAAGTTGAGCGAATTTACACACTGATCTGATTTAGAAAGATAAAATTATATATATAAAAAAATAATAAAATAAACGACCCCAGTGATAAAAAAAAAATTATAAATAAGATGAAAGAAAAATAGTTAAAACATTAATGGCAACAGAAATACACAATAGAAAGACATTTTTTTTTTTTTTTCGTACATTTACAAATCTACCATTTGTCTGTGCATTGAATAGCGCTGCCATATCTGATCTGGCGCTTCTGCTGTTCATCTCAAGGTTTTAAAAAAATCCAAACAAGGATCTTCAATATAATTGATCCTGACATAACAACTCCACTTTAGTCACTTTCTCACCGACTCATCGTGGCTTCTCTCTGCAAATATTTTCATGGTAACTACACTGACGAGCTTTTTTTTTTTCCTGGTGCTCCGACTACATGAATTTAAGCGTGCTACTAGATTGCCATTTAGGTCCCACCCTTTTATGGTTAAAATAGCTAAATACAACCGCCTATTTGACATTTTCTTTTCTTACACTTCCCGCCCGTTGAACTCCCTTCCGTTTACTTGCTTCCCTGATAACTACAATCTTCAAAAATTTAAATCCTAATGTCTCCTATCTTCTTGAATCCTGTTCATCTTTTGTCCTTTCTTCAACCCTCCCTATACGCAGTCTTTCCTCTCACTTTCACTCCTCTGTAACTCTCAGATTACTAATGGCATTTCCGACTTTATTTTAATCATCATCAGGATAGGTAGACAATTGTTGAGTTTCGTGGTACTAGTAAGTCTTGTGACGTAGGTATATTGTGTTGTGACGTAAGCGAGGTGTGTCGTGTTGTTTTTATTTATTGATTTATTTATTTTTTTAATCGTTGCCGTTTTCCAACCGGAACAAAGATCAATAAAAAAAGAAAACAATCTGTTGCAATTGAATTTGGTAGTGATAAATATTAAGTTTAAATATAAAGCAATGAAAACTATGTGGTATTTACTAATTCTTCTTTCTCTCTCTCTCTCTTTTTTTTCCTAAAGGCTCAAAACCAGCAGGAACCATCAAACTGAAGTCCATTTTGCGCCTCCAAAGACAGCATATTTCATTGTTCATTCATTGCAGATGCATGGCGTTTCTATTTTACAGTTCCACACGTGGAGCAGTATATAAGAATTTAAATCAAAAAGACAGTATAAGTTAGCGAATTTTAGCATCACAGAATGAATAAGTTGTTAAAGTATATAATTGCTTAATTTCTCTAAAGCTTTCTCTAGCTTTTACGAAGTTTATTTCCAGAAGATTAACTAAATATAAAGATTTTTTTTTTTAGTCTCTAGAATTAGTAGCAAGTACGTGGTTGGTTTGATTTACTGCAGTATACTTAGTAAATTTAATGCAGGTTTAATGATCTTATAGTATTAATAAAATATATTTAGGTATTTTTAACACAATAGCGAATGTTATATTTTAAACAATAGTAAATTGTCATGTATTTCGTTTCAGTTAATTTTCTTAAAAAGGGCTAAGTATCTGTTTTACAGTTTACAGTATTAGGGGAGCGAAGAAAAAATTTACAATATTAGAGTTTGAAGAAAAAGTTAATTCTAAGATAATTATGGAAGGTATTTAAAATTTAAAATTAAAATTTAAAATTTTATTCACATTTTGAAGCAGAAATACAATCTCAAATAAGAGATTTAAATTAACGATACAATGAAAGTTTTCAAAACTACAGTTTTATTTAACGAATTGTTTTATTCAATAGTTTACAGAAAAAGGAGAAGTTAAAATGAGTAATGGAGAAACATATCAATAATATAATTTAAAAAAAAAACATAGCCTTTAACATGAATTAAATCAAGTAGATTTTTTAAATGAAAAGTTAAAAAAAATTAATGGAAAATATAACTGTAGAAGAACCTAGTTCAGGAAGCTCTTGTGACTTCGCCCGTTGCTGGACTGTAGCCTTGCAAGTGACTCTTCTTGGGCTTATTTCGGCTGTGGGAACATTCAGCAACTCGCTGGTCATTTTAGCCATCTTTCTTTACGATGATTTACGGACCAAAGCGAAATCCTTTGTGTGCAATTTAGCCGTTGCCGATTTAATTCTCTGTCTTTTCGTCATTCCTCTGAGAACAATGATGATGTTCGCCCGCCAACCGTTCGGCCTGTGTCACGTGACCGTCGTGGCGCAGGCGACCTTCGTCTACACATCCATCAACACGCTGGCTGCAATTTCCTACAACCGCTTTGTGCTGACGATGAAGACCCGATCGCAGTACGAGAACACGTTCACCAAACGCAACGTCTTTCTGATTCTGTCCACCGTTTGGTGCCTCGCGTTCGGCGCCTCTTTCATGGCCGTCATGTGGACCGGCGCTCTGAACGTAACTTACGACAACAAGACGCGAGCATGTGTCTTCCTGCGGGGAAACGCCACCATTTCCGCCTTGCTCATGGTACCGCTGTCATTACTCTTCTCGCCTCTGCTCCTCACGCTCTATTTCTACGCGCGCATTTTTTATTACGCCAGACACTCCGCTGTCTCCGTGACTGGCCACCGGCCAGACGACATTAGTTTCACTTACAAATTATGCTGCATTACCATCCTGTTCGGCATTCTTAACTTTCCCGCCTGTATACTTGCGGTTGTCCAAGTGTTCAGCAGTCCAGACGCTAACGAAGTTTTGATTAGATTCTCCATTATTATTCAGCTCCTCAATTCTGCTGTCAACCCCGTCATTTATGGGTGGAAGGTCCCCAAATTCAGAAACGCTTTCATTCGTATGCTGCGCCTGAACGCCTGTTGTAATCGAGCCGCAGTGCAACCAATCAACCACTGATCAAATATCTACAAAATTTAAAAAAAAGAGACAATGTTGTTAAAGTTCTAGAGTAAGATAGAAATATAAAATACTGTTTAATACCTTGTTCGTTTTTGAAGTCAACACTCAGAGGCGACAGATTGTTTCATGCCAAACGCAATCGTCATTGTGCTGCATTGTGGGTAGTCTATTCTAACGGTTATTTTGGCGGGAATGGTTTGTTAATTTGTTTAGTATTTACTTTATTTATTCATTTATTTGGATTAATTTATTTTACTTGTTTGCTTATTTATATTTATTTTATTTATTCTTTTCAGTTTTGTATTTTTAAGTAACGTAGTAAGAATTTCAATGCATCACTGACCCATATATATATATATATATATATATATATAATAGTCGAGAAAAGAACAAAGCATGTGGCCTGACGATTGCGTCTAGCATGAAACAGCCTCGCCTTTGAATGGTGACTTCAATGTTAATTTTTATATTTACATACGCTCTTTCTCTGATATTGGGCACTTTATCCCATAAACATAGCATACCTTAAAACTATATTTCTTCAGTCACATATATATATATATACTTTTAGTTGTCTTAACCAATTGTAATTATGATTTAAAAAACACGAATGAAAAGCAAAAGGAAAGGAAAATACTGCAAATGTGGATAAATGCTGATTAAAATTTTATGAAACAAACTTTTAAAGGTCTTAATTTTTTTAATTTATTTTTTTCATTCATCTGCAAAATAAAACTAAATGTGCAGACGGCCCGGATCCCTTAATACCCTCAGGTCAACAAGAACAAACAGTAAAAACAAAGAACCAAGTCAAGACTATTAACAACAACAACAAAAAAAAAAATGCTTAAGCATATACCATTATTATGATGTAACGGTTATCTATGAATAAAATGGAATACGTGAAGAGAGTTCAAATTCTAGTCTAGCGTTTACTTTCGCACTTGTTCCTTTGGAAAGAGCTTAAGTCTATCTTTGCTACCAGCTATGGGTTAAATAGCAGAGTAAATTTGGCCCTTTTAGTCATAGGTGACAAGTCTAAGAGAAGAAAAACTGAATTCTACACCATGGGGGAAACAACAGGAAACTACTCCACTATCTTTCCCAAGAAGTCATAACAGTATTCAGATAATAAAGAAAAAATAACTGACGAACTAGTATCGTTTACGTCCTGAAAGGAACATGGCGTTTAAATAAAATAAACAGCTATGTATTCACTTTTTTATTAAACAGCTATGTATTCATATTTTTTTATTAGTCATTTTTTGGTTGAGTTTTATTGCAACGTTCAGGTCGTTTTTACACTCTACAACCGTTAAGCGATTAGCATAAGAAAATAATAATCTTCCAACTCAGTTTTTTTTTTTGTTTTTTTTTTTTTTGTGTGTGTGTGAAAACTAACGGGAATAGATACTTACCGATAAGGCTAATTATTTGACGTCATTCAAAGTTAGTCACGGGGATACATTCTTCATTATTCGAATCAGGGTAGCATGATTGGGTAGTGAATTTTAGTTTCGCAAAATGTGAATGTCTCATTAATATCTCAAGTGAGCCTTACAAGTTGCAAATAGCAAATTTCGTATCACTGGAATTTCAAAAAGGATTCCAGTTTGCCAACACTGATTAGAGTTTCAATCCACTCTATTCCTGGTTTATATCAACCTATTTCCTCAAGACGAAACGTTGTCATTTTATTGCTAGTCTTTCGCAATTTCCACGGCAAATCTTCAAATGAGCAAAATAAGGTCTTTCACCAATTCAGGCATTTACATCTAAGTATGGTATGCTATTTCTACGTAGTTGAATCATCCTCATTCCCCCCCATGTTCAAATGTTAAAAAAAAACTTCCAGACAACTTTTTCGCAAGAACTGCAACTTTATGGGACAAATTCTCACATGAGTGAACGCTTCAAACCTTGACCCCTTCAAGGCAAAGGTCAACGGCAATGTATCTCTCTTATCCTAACAGCGTTCGCTTCCTACCACATCCTCTTGCATTCATATCACTCAGCTCAAAACTGTTAATACAACATTCACTCACACAAAAAAGAATCGTTCTTAAAATCTAAAATGTGATTCGGTTTTAAATAACCCACAAAGGGTTGATAAACCGGAAAAAATAAGTGCTTCGTATCGTGAACGACAGTATCAATTTTTTCTGAAATTTCTAATTCATTTCATTCAAATTCTAGTATTTCTTTGCAGTTTCAAATGTACCAGATATTATGGGGACTACGCTGTCATGTTTCAGTTATTATTATTATTATTAATCATTAATCATATTGTTATTCTACTTGTAATAATTATATTATAATTTTGTTTTATCATGTTAGCACGTACGTTACGTCTTTACCCCATAAATAATTGACTATGTCGTTTTAATCACGAGGAAAGACGGAAAAGACATACAAGAGAAGCTGGTTAGTTTCAGTGAAAGAAATAAATAAAGAGGAGGTGATAAAATCCATATGTTTAACGTCTGCTTCAGTGAAATGCAAAAAAAAAAAAACTTGTCAGTTTCAAATCTTTTAATTTGTACCCTCCTAGTTTAATGACCTGCATTCTTACCCTTGTTATCGTAATGTATTGTTAAAGGTGTTTTTATTTGAAATATTACATTTCATGGGACACAAGGCCAAAAGGGGTGAGAAAAGGTTAGTTGTCACTGACTATCCTATGCATAGTTAATTTAGTTCACGATTCATTCATTCATTACAGTTTATTCATACACCACAAGAATTCAACCATCGCCATTCAATCCAACACATACCATAATACCGCATATTTACGGGGGATCCTACTAAAACACTCATTGCATGAAAATATCTACAATTGCATTTTTAAAAAATATATTATTAAAATTGTTAAGATCATTTATTTAACGATACAATATGGGATTTTTCGTGGGTATTTTATAGTCATGGAAATCGCAAGCAGTTTATTCAATCATTAATTTTCAAAATTATGACTAAACAGAAAATTAGAATGAAGTTTTAACAGTTTTTTCTAGTCATTATTAATGTAATTAATAATATTAATAATAATCAGTCATCATCATTATTACCAATCAGCATCATTAATAATATATTTTTCATCATCCTCACTACTCCTACTACTCATTGAGTAGGAGAAATGTAAATTCTTCAGCACTCTAATTTGTATTCTCGTTGTCTTTTAGTCACGCTGTTATCAGTATTGTCTTTACTTTTCCCATGATTTTGAAATTCTTGCAGTCTTTTGTCCAGGGTTCTTCGGGGGCGTTCCTACTGTCCCAACTATCATCACCATGTTCCATAACCTAGCAATCTGTAGAGACCGAGTTTCTGATACGTCTTTTCAATTTGTTTAGGATCACCCCCCCACACACACTTTTTACGTTTATATTTTGTCTTCTTTCATTTCCACGTTATTTTGGTTAATAATCTATCATAATCCGACATCTTAATGCAAAAGAACAAGAATAGGCAAAATTCGAGAGCATTCTCCGAGAAGCGAAACGTGATCAGATTTAGAGAACAGAATTTAAGCAATGGATGCTTAATTCAAATTTTCTTATTTGTGGGGAAAAGTAAACAAATGCATCTTTTAGACTAGAATAATCCCTTTGCATCAATAAATTTCTTTTTTACTAGAATTGAAAAACAAAATGGAAGAAAACAAAAACAAACAAATATCACTTGAACACCGAGAGAACTCTTTTGTTTTGTCTGCCTTTGCAGAAAGAAAGCGATATATTTTCTATTCAACCGCAATTCACCAAGTAATAACATAAAAATACAGAAAAAAAATAAACTTCTTTATATGTACGTGTCTCTGTAAATTTATATATATATATATACTTAATGTGTACGTGTATACATTTATTTTTCACAGTGAATGTAGTTTTGTTTATTTTCCTAAATATATTTCTGATTTTAATACTCAAGATACTCTGTTCGGGGATTGGGGAGTCCAAATCAACATTACAGCTCTTTTTTTTTTTTTATTTCAAAGTCAGCAGAAGTTATGAGTGATTTTTGTCAGATATCAAGGTTACTCGCCCGATCAGCGTTAGTCCTCTATTTTCTTATCAGCCAAATGCCACTTCCAACTGAAACGCTCAAGGCTGCCGTGTCACTTTCATTGATCGACGCGTTCATATTTTTCTATCTACGTCATCAAACTCAATAAAATTACCAAAGTGAAAACGCCAAACGCTTTAAATAAATTCGATCGATTGAAACATTTCTCTCTCTCTCTCGTTCTCGTTTGCTTCCATTAAAAACAATCGAATCGGTTGGGTTGTTTTAGATGTAAAATAATTCCAGTCCGTTTGCGACATTTGTGGGTTCGGAAAAAAAAATGATGTTTATTGTGATTACAATATTTCCATCATATAACAACTTAAACCATGATTTGAGTTGACTGCTTCAATAATAGGATTTCAGAAGCTATGGCAGCAATAACAATACTCGATAATGTTCCCATCAATATCAACTCGAATTTTAAACAAAACTGATATTCTTTAAGACGATTAATTTTTTATAATATAGCTCACCGAGACTTCTTCATCTTTTCTATCTCGAAATAATGTTTGTCACCTTACTATACCTCCCAGTCCTTATTTTGTCATATGGCACTTTTCTAAGCGTAGCACAAGGCCAGCAGAATTGGACTAAGGATCGATTTAGTAGTAATTAATCTAGCGCGACAATCTTGCTAACCATTATATCACGTCGAAGTGCCCAAATAATTTTCAAAGTGTACTTTATATGTGGCACAAGGCCGAAAGTATGGAACACACTGTGAGGATCGAACTCCTTATTCAGTCGTAATTAATCTAGCGAGACAAACTTGTTAACCATTACACCGCATCGAAGTGACCCTGTCCTGTCATATGATTGATTGATACGTTTTTACACCTTATCACCTCTTTGCAGATTATACAAAACTAGAAAATATTTGTAAGTATTTTTTCGGAGGTAATAATGGTTTAGTGATACAAGTCTTACTA